TTCCTATAGATTTATTGTCATTAAGTCTGAGAAGCAATGTCTTATTTAATTAATTTTAAATATAATTTAATTACATTTGTATAATTAATTTTAAAATTCTTGGCATTGTTTAATAACTTCTTCTCAAGATTTTTAAAATCTTGACATGGTGGCATTACTTTCTATTTTCCAAATTAAGGACAAAAAGTCTGTGTTAGGGTATTCATTACAATTGCATTTGCCATACACCTCTAGGATTTTCATTATGCACATTGTTACAATTTCCCATCTGTCTTTATATTTCTCCATTATATAGCTTTATTTTAATTTTATTATTTTTTGTTTTATTAGTACATTATGTTTGTATATGATAGTGAAGTTCAGAATAACATATTCATAAACGCATGTAACATAAATTTTTTCATTACTTGACTTTAGTACCTAATATTGACTCCCTTTTTTACTCTATTGGTCTTTTTTCTATTTTTATTCTTTTATTGTTGTTACATTGGTTTTATTTTTGTTTTTTTGTTTGTTTTCATACAGATTATTGAACCCAGGAGGACTTTATCACTGAGCTACATTCTCAGCCCTTTTTATTCTTTATTTTGAGACAAGGTCTAAGTTGCTTAGGCTCTCTCTATATTGCTGAGGCTAACTTTTAACTTGTGCTCCTCCTGCATCAGCCTCCCCATTCGATGTGATTAGAGGCATATGCTTCCAAGTGTCTTTGCTTTTTAATTGGTGAAAAATAGTAATTCATAAAACTGGAATTCATTGTGATATATTCATACATGTACTCAGCACAATTTGGTCAGTTTCATTACACAGTTTCCCCTCTTCCCCACCCCTCCTTCCTTCTTCTCAATTCACTTTCTCCATTCAACTGTTCTCACCCTCACCACTTTTCTTATTCTTTATTTCTCTCTTCCATTCACATAAGAAAGAAATCATTACACTTCTGATTTTGAATCTGTCTTATTTAACATAACAGCATGATGATTTCAATTCTGTCCATTTATCAGCAAATGACATAACTCCAGACTTCTCTATGTCTGAGTAGAACCCCAGTGTATACATATCACATTTTCTTTATCAATTCATCTGTTGGAAGACACCTGGTCTGTTTCCACCACTTGATGATTATGAACTGTGCTGCTATAAACATTGGAATGCAATTATCACTAAAATATGCCTATTTTAGGTATTTTGGGTAAATGTCAAGGATTGGAACAGCTAGGTCATATGATGAGTCTATTTCTAGTCTTCTGAGGAATCTCCATACTGCTTTCCAAAGAGTCTGAATTAATTTGCAGTGCCACAAACTGTGTATAAGTGTACCTTATTGTCTACATCCTCCTTAGCATTTATTATTATATATGTTATTGAAGCTTGCCATTCTACCCAGAGTGAGATTAAATCTCAGTATACTTTTGATTTGCATGATGCTAATGATGTTGAACATTTCTTCATGTATTTGTTGACAATTTGCAATTTTTTCTTTTTAGAAATGTCTGTTGAGTTTATTTGTGCATTTACTGAGTAGGTATTTTTTCTGTGTTAAGTTTTTTTTTTTCTTCATATATATTTTTTTTTTTAATTTTTTATTGTTGGCTGTTCAAAACATTACATAGTTCCTGATATATCATATTTCACAATTTGATTCAAGTGGGTTATGAGCTCCCATTTTTACCCCATATACAGATTGCAGAATCACATCAGTTACACATCCATTGATTTACATATTGCCATACTAGTGTCTGTTGTAGAAGAATAGCTGTCATTGATTCTCCCCCATTCTATAGGCTACCCTTTCACACTCTTAATTGTTTCCTTTTCTGTGCAGAAGTTTTAAAATTTGATTTCATCCCACTTATTAATTGTTGGTTTTATTTATTGATCTTAGGGATCTTATTAAGGAAGTCAGTGTCTGTATGTGTATGTTGGCATGTTAACCATACATTTTATTCTAAGACTTGCAAAGTTCTTGCTCTACTTTGTATATCTTTGGTCTATTTTGAGTTGACTTTTAAGCCAGGTGAGAGAGCGGGATCGGGTTTCATTCTTCTAATACAGATATCCAGTTTTCCCAGCACCATTTCTGTAAAAGGTTGTCTTTCCTCCAATGTATGTTTTGGTGCTTCTCTGTATCTGTGTAGTATTGTCTCTGTGTTTCTATTTTGTTCCATTGGTCTTCATGTCTGTTTTGATGTCAGTGCCATGCAGTTTTTGGTACTGTTGCTCTTGAGTAGAATTGAGACTCAGTACTGTGATGCCACCAGCCTTGTTCTTACTGGTCAGGATTACTTTGGCTCTTCAAGGTCACTTATTCTTCTATATAAATTTTAGAACTGTGTTTTTCAAGTTCCATGAAAAATGTCATTGGTATTTTCATGGGAATTGCATTAGATCTCTGTATTACTTTTGGTACTATGGCCCATTTGACAACATTATTTATGCCTATCCAAGAACAGGGGAGGCTTTTCCATCTTCTAATGCCCTCTTCAATTTCTTTCTTCAGTGATCCACAGTCTTCATTGCACAGGTCTTTTGCTTCTTTGGTTAGATTTATTTTCAGTATTTTTTGTTTGGGTATTTTTTGTTTGTTTGTTTTTTTAGGGTATTGTGAATGGAATTGTTTTTCTGATTTGTTTCTAAGCAGATTCATTAGTGGATTAGTGAAATATAGGAAAGCTATTGACTTTTGGATTCTGATCTTGTGTCCTGCTACTTTGCTGCTACTTTATCAGCCCTAGAAGAATCCTGGAGAAGTTTCTGTTTATGTATAGGATCATATCATTTGCAAATAAAGATAATTTGATGTTTTCTTTTCCTATTTGTATCCCTTTAATTTCCTTTTCTTAAATGATTGCTCTGGCCAAAATTTCTAGAGCTATGTTTATAGGTTTGTTGAGACTGGATACCTTCATGCTGTTCTTGATTTTAGAGGAAATACTTTCAGATTTTCCTCATTCTTTATGATGTTTGCTTTAGGTTTGCCATACATGTGCTTTATGATGATGAGGTAAGTATCTTCTATCCAAACCTTTTCAGTGTTTTTTAATTAAACATTTATTTTTTAGTTGTAGGTGGACACAATACCTTTATTTTATTTTTATGTGGTCGAACTCAGTGCCTCATGCATGCTACGCAGGCACTCTACCTCTGAGTCACAACCCCAAATGAAAACCAATGCTAAGTTTTGTCAAAATCTTTTTATGTATCTATTTAGATGATCATGTGGTTTTCAATTTTATTTCTATTTTTGTTATTAATTATAGTTATATAATATATATCTCCAAACTTGCATCTTGCATCTCTTGGATGAAACCAACTAGAACATCGTTTACAGTCTTCTTAATGTATTTTTAAATGTGAACTGCTGATATTTTACTAAGGACTCCAGGATCAACATTAATCAGTGATATTTTTCTGTAATTTTTTTTCCTTAATGTGTCTTTATCTGGATTTGGTATCAGAGTGATACTAAATTTATGAATGAATTTGGGAGTGTTCCTTCTCTTTGTGTTTCACAAAATAATTTGAATATATTAGCATTTATTTCTTCTTTAAAGATCTGGTAAAACCCAGCTGAGAATTCATCTTATCCAAGGCTTTTGTTTGTTGAAAGTCTTTTTATCACTGCTTTAATATTATTCCTTGATACTGGTCTGTTTAGGTTTTCTGTTTTGTTTCAATTTGGGTAGGCCATAGTATCTAGAAATTTGTCTATATCTTCTAGATTTTCTCATTTATTTGAAAATATGTTTTCAAAATAGTTTTTATTTCTTTCTTCTTTTTTTTTTTTCTTTTTTGGTAACAGGGATTGAACTCAGGGATGTTTAACCACTGAGCCACATCCCCAGACTTTTTTGTATTTTATTTAGAAACAGGGACTCATAGAGTTGCTTAAGGCCTTGATAAATTGCTGAGGCTGGCTCTGGATGTGTAATCCTGCTGCCTCAGCCACCATAGCTGCTGGGATTAAAAGAATGCACTACCTTGCTCAGCTCAAAATACTTGTTTATACCTCTGGATTTCAGCCATGTCTGTACATTTTTTTTTTATCTTTAGTGTTTTTGGTTGGGGTCTTGTCTTTCTTTTGCTTAGTTTGGCTAAGGTTTGATCTTGTTTATCTTTTCAAAGAATTAACTTTTTGTTGCATTGGTCTTTTGAATTATTTTTTATTCTAAATTCCATTAATTTGATCTATGATTTAATGATTTCCTGTTGTTTATGAGTTTTAGAATTGGTATTTTTAAATTTCTCACATGACCCATTCGTCATCTAAAGGGTATTATTCAGTCTCCACATGTCAAAATGATTTGTTTTTTATTGTTTTATCAATTTAAAATTCATCCTATTATGATAGGTTAAGTACAAGGAATTATATATAGTTTTGTGTATTTTATAAGACTTGATTTGTGCCCCTAAATATGTTCTATTTTGGAGAAGATTACATGTACAGCTGAGAAAAAAGTAAATTCACTTGTTGATGGATAAAGTAGTCTATAGATGTCTGTTAGATTCATTTTGTTTATATCATTCTTAATGTCTATAGCGTTATTAGTTTTTGTCTGGATAATCTGAGAGAGAGGTATATGAAAATTCACTTAGTATTATTGATTAGAGTATATCTGAGTCTTTAAGTAGTATTTTATTTATGAAATTATGTTTGGAGCATAAGTTTTTAAAATTGCCATCATAGGATAGTTCCCTTTACCAATGTAAAGTGACCTTTCTGGGCTCTTCTGATTAATTTTGGCTTGATGTCTGCTTTTTTGGACAAGAGAGTAGTTACTCTGGCTTACTTTGATTCTGCTTTTCATTGCATATCTTTTTCCACCCTTTCAATTTCAAGCTGTGGCTGTCTTTTCGTATAAGGCACATATCTTATGAACAACATATGATTGAGGCCAGTTTTAACCCAGTCTGCCTGTCTGTCTTTTAATGGGAGAGTTGAGACCATTGATATTTAGTGTTTTTATAAAAATGATCATTTCCTGCCATTTGATTTCTTAAAAAATATGAAACACTTTATGAATTTATATGCCATCCTTTCACAAGGGCTATATTAAACTTCTCTGTGTTGTTGAAAATTTAATATACGTGCTGCCAAAGTGAACATCCAGCCATCTTTATTTAATAATATAGTCTTCCCAATAACATTTTCAATGGTTTTTGACCCATAGAAAACAACCTTACAATTTAACAGAGATTTTCTTAAAACAGCAAATTGATTATTGATAATTTAATCCACTCTACATTATAATAATACAAAACTATAAACCTATGATTATTTTGTCTATGAATTTCCTATTGTTGCACACAACTCACTAAGATATGAAACAAGACATTTTGTAAGACTATAACATTCAAGCAAAAAAGCAAAAGGGAAAATGAGAGATGTGGATAAAGCAAGCTATTATGGTTTGGATGTGAGGTGTCCCCAAAAGCTCATGTGTGAGACAATGCAAGGTTTGGAGGAGAAATGATCCAGCTATAGACTTAATCTAATCAGTGAATTAATCAGTGATATGATTAATTGAGTGGTAATTGGAGGCAGGTGTGTGTGGTAGGAAAAAGTGGCAAATTGGGGACATGGCTCTGGGGTATACATTTCTTTCTGGCATATGGAGACACTCCCTCTGCTTTCTGATTACCATGAGAGTTGGTTCCCTCTGCCACACTCTTACACCATAATATTCTACCTCGCTTTGAGCTCCGAGGAATGGAACTGTCCTTCTATGGATTAAGACCTCTGAAACCATGAGCCCTCAAATAAACTTTTATTCCTCTACAATTGTCCTGGTTGGGTCATTTTAGTCACAGTGGTGAAAAGCTGACTAAAACACATGTAAATGTTAAATAACAGGATAAATGTTAACTTTATACTATCATACATAATTAATACAGATACATAGAGGGTAATGGTAGACATTGAAGGTAAATAAAACAAAATTATAAAATCTTAATCAAAATTTATCTGAAGATGGTTATTCTAAAAGTCAAAAAATGGAAATATTTGAAAACCAATGTTAACCTTTCCAGAGTAAAATTGTAAGAAAACACATTCATTTATAAGTACTGCTGTATTGAGAACCAGAAATTGGGTGGCTCTAGATTTGGATTTTAACCTATTCTTTGTAGTTTTTTGAGATTTTCCTAACTGGAGTTTATTGAACCTCTTGCACATGTAAATCCATGTCCTTCCTCAAATTGAGGAATTTTAACAAGTTAATTCTACAAATAATCTCTTTGCCTCCTAAAATGTATACACTGCAAGTCCTATTGTCTCAGATACTTTTTCTCTGTTCTTTTTTATTTCTGTATCCTCTAACTACATAATTTCGATTTTCCTACCTACATTCAATATTTTCCCTTCTTTCTCATGTGCACTAAAAGCTGCACCTGAAGTCCTTTGTAAGTTTTTTGTTAGCTCTGTACTTTGCAGATTGAAATTTCTGTTTGATTTGCTGTTGTAATCTGTCACTTTGCTGATATTTTTCATTTATTTATTTTTTTTTGGTTTTTAATAGTTTTCAATAGTTCATACTTCCCATTCTATCTTATCTTTTATTGGTGAGCAGGGAAGCTGAGAGCCATTACAACCAACTTTGATTTCAGGCCACTCCAGTCTTTGATTCCAGGACACCAAAGGAAGAAATGTTAAATACATTATTTATTTATTTTCATTTATTTATTTTTCATTTTACTGCTTCCTATATTTTCCCATAGTTACATTCAGCTCTTTGAACACATTGGATATGAAGTACCTATTTAATATGTCCAATGTCTGCACATTCTGAGGATCTATTCTTGACAGTTTTTTTCTTGTATCTTCCCCATTTCCAAACCCCATTGACTAGGCCATACTTTTTAATTTTTTGTAAGCCTGTTATTATTATTTTTTTAAACTGGACATTTTAATATTATAATTTGGTTATTCTGGGAATTTAATTCTTTTCCCTTGCCGAGTTTTCCTGCTGTTGTTTGTTGAGGACTGCAGTCATATTGATTTAGAGACTTTATTAGTTTTTATAAGACTCCTTCCATTATCAGGTGCAATCACAGTGGTCTCCATTTTTTCATCTCGGTACTCAGATAGTGACTCCTTAGAATTTTTTTTAAATATCTGTAGTGTTCCAGCCCCCTAAAAAAATGAAAAAAGGAAAAAATAAGTAGAAATCTTCTGATCTTGTGACCTGACTCAAAGAAAGGGGACTCCTTCAGTGTAAGTCAGGCTGTTTACAACTCTGCCTTAATCTTCAACTACTGCTTTCATGAAGCTCACACAATTGCCACAAGTAAAAGCCTATGGTATTCTAAAGGCTTTTTCAACAAATTCCTGACCCTGGGAAGGTATATTTCAGTCTGCCTTCCATGATATATGAGATGGCCCTTGTGAGGTGATTTTGCCCAAGAAAGTTTTGTCAACTTAAGTCAATTTTAGTCAAAGAAGAACTAATAGGGTCAATTTGACATAATGGCAAGAGAAGAAGGATTTCACTGAATTTTCTCCAAATATAGTATTTTTATTTGACATTTTTTTTCTGTAACTGTAGATCAAGAATCATTTTTACAATGATCGAGTTGCAGCTAAACAATGTTTTCCAATAAGACATTGTACTTATGGTTTATGGTCACTAACTTTTGAAAGTTGCTACTTGTTTTGATGACTTGTTTCATCTTCTTCAAGCACAATAAAGCCAAGCAGTTGTCATTATTACTCATTTTATTACTATTTATTTAAAAAAAACTCCATTCTGTATATTAACTAAGTAACCAAAAACATGAGAGAGAATTATCAAAACCGAGATTTTAAAGTAATTGGACGTAGATTAATCTTTTTCAACCCTAACACATTCTGATATGAGCTTTACTTCTGAGGGACAGCTGTTTTGCCACTTCTTATTGAATGTGTCTAGTGATGTTCTTTATGCAGAATAAGAGCACCAAAAAATGTATAAGAAATTGTATAATGAGTTGACATTCACTTTTGCTTTTACCTGTAGAAGTTTCAGAATTCAGAGCATAGCCATGCCAAATGAAATATCAGTTGGAGAATTTATTCTTCTGGACTTACAAATAACTCAGAGTTACAAGTTTTAATATTCTCTTTTAATAACAATACCATCTATACACCCTACATCCAAGGCAGCTGGTTATCCTGCCAATAAATAGATTTCTTGGAGGGAGTAGTGTCCGGAGATTCAGGTACCCATCAGATAATTGCATCTCTTTGGCCTCAGGGATGTGTTGATATCTCTCCAAAATAGGTACCACCCAACAAATTCCCAAAGTTGCAATCAGAGCTTGACCCCAGCAATAGGAACATTCCATTTAGAACTCTGTATCAGCCCTTCTTTGGGAATGCATTTATCTACACTTTCTATAAAAAAGGTTTTAACAGTTCATACTTCCCATTCTATCTTACCTTTTATTGGTGAGCAGGGAAGCTGAGAGCCATTTCAACCAACTTTGATTCCAGGCCACTCCAGTTTTGATCCCAGGACACCAAAGGAGGAAATGTTAAGTAATTCGCAGGTCTTGTCATCTCTAAAGGGCACACAATCCAATAAAAATGGAAATAAGAGCAGTAAGGCATATATAATAAATATCTCTCCTTGTCCATTCTTTTGGCCACCTCAGTGTACACAATTCTTTCATTTTTAATTAAGAATTTTTTGTTCATTTCCATTGCATTTGCAGATTAGTTCATGTATATGCAAATACATACATGTTTGTTCCTTTTTTAGTTTCATCTTTCTTTTTTGTTTTTAGTATCTTTTGTTATTTTCTTCCCTGATAGCTGATGAGTTTTCTCTTTTGCTTTTACTTTAACTGTTGTTTGGTTTGTTATACTTTCTTTCCTTTTCTTTTCTGTAGTCAGAATGTCTTGTTCCTTCTTTCTGTTTCTGTCTCCTTGTCACATTCTCTCTCTCTCTGTGTATTACATATAAATGTATTTTTTTATTATTTTATTATTTTTTCTTTACTCTATGGGCTTCAGTAGCTTCCCCTCTCCTGCTTTTTCAATTTCTTATTTTGAATATTCTAAACTTTCTTTGCCTTCTTTCCCTATTTTCTTTTCTCCTCACTAACTGTACTTTCACCAACTGTTTAAACTATTTAGTTTATATAATTTCTTACCCACGTTTCTTTTTTTTTGTTATTAGTATTGTGGATGTTGTTGACAATTGATGTTTATATTAATGCACTATCTTGTTCACAACTCTTTGTTGTTCGACCTGGTTAATTTCTGACTCTGCCATTCCTGTTTTTGTAGTTATTAGTGTAATAAAGGTCATGATTGCAAGTAGTATTTGCTGTAATGCTGTATTTTGTTCACTGCTATTGTTACTATAGTTTATCTTCCCTTTTTATAAGGGACTGAGAATTCAGTTCGATGATAAGCTCACATTACGGACACTCTGTTGCTGAGGCACACTTCAACCCAGAAAAGAGACAGTGAACCTTGATACACACACAACATAACCATGTTCAAACTTCAGCAATACTTCAACACAAAGAATTCAGGAAACAAAAATCCCAAAGCAATGACAAGATCTTACGTAAGAATGGCTACAGGGGGACATAGGTCCAACTCATAGAATTTTGCTCCTATACCAACAACAGGAAATCACAATACCTTATTTCATATATTTTTATGTGATGCTGGGAATTGAAGTCAGTGTCTCACATGTGCCAGGTGAGTGCTCTATCACTGAACCCCAGCCCCAGCCCTCATGGATGAATTTAAAAGAATCAGTTGATAAATTATTAGAAGCAATAAAGGCAATAAGGGAATACACAAACCAATAAGGGACAAATATCCATATATAGGAAACTTAATGATCACCAGACAGACTTAGCTTGACCAAGTCTATTCCAAGATAAACTTAAATGAAGTTATCAAATGTGAAAGATAAAGAGAAAAGAAGATTCTTAAGGTGGCAGGAGAAAAAAAACAACACATAAGTGTGTCTCAATTCACCTGACAACAGACTTTTTTAGTAGAAATATTATGGATTGGAGAGAGTGGCATGAGATTTTTAAAACAATGAAGGGAAAATAAATTATCAACAAAAAATACTGTACCAATCAAAGCTATTCTTTGAAATGA